CGCCTTATAGTGCGGACAATAGAGTACTAAGATTAAATCACACACAGATGAACTCTATCTACTACTTAAGAGTCTTCTGAAATAAATTGGTTGCACTGAATTTTACTCTGGAATATCAAAGTGGCTTGATTAAAGATGCCACATTTTTCTGATTTGTATTGGTCTGTCTACAGTTCCAATAAAATAACCAACGTTTGTGATTGCAAAGTGGAAAATCTTGAGAAGGTTCAAGGGGCATGAACACTTTTGCAAATAGACCTAGAGTAAGAACTCTGTACCACATGCCATGTTAAACCCATTCGATGACTAAAGGAAATGAGAATCAGAGGTAGCTTGAGGGATCAGGACACAGTCGTAGTTGAAGGACTGAGCTTTAATAAAAGCAGGAAAACAGATGAATCACTCATTTTGAGAAGAAAGAAAAATTATAGCTATAACAACTGCAGGAGGTAATTTCATTCATTGTAGTGCTGAAAACAATCAAAGTGTAGGAATGGTTTAATGATGACAAAAATTAATAAAATCTGAATAAACTGATGGATTTTTGCATCCTAGCCAAAGCAAACAGAAAATGAGAGATTGTTTTTTTTTTCCACAGATGTAAAATAAAAGAACATGAAAAAAACATTTGGATGGAAATAAATGTAACAGAAAGTCAGTGTAAAGCATTTACCCAAACACACGTCAGATTTTGATTTAGATCTGACACACTGAAACTGGTTAGTCGGTTTACAGACAAACTAGAACCACATTCAGGTTTGCTGCTTCCATCTCTCTATGTTGAGGCTGTTGCACTGCTTTACACTAGCTAATCCTCATATGGTGTCCAGCTGTGCTATCGGACGCAATTTAATTTAGCAAAACTCAGGTCTAACAATTCCTCTTACTAGTTGAAACCTGAGGAGAGCCATACAGCTGTCTGCAGATCAGAAGCCCACCTTGCTGCCGTCGCGGCCTAGGATGGCGTAGCTCAGGTACTGCTCAGCATCGCCCTCCAGTTCGTTGGCATCCAGCAGGGAACCCTCCACTTCCAGAACCCCTTCTTCTCCCAAACCTTTCCCTCTGCGCACAACTTTCCGTACAATCTATTCCACATTTTAGATGTTGGAGGTCGGGGTGAGGAGGAGTCAGACGAGGGCGAGTGGATGATAAAGTAACAGAAAGAGAAGAAGAAATGTTGATGGAGAAAAAAAAACTGTACTTAAAAAAACATCCAACATGAAATGAATGAAGAACTTTGATACATCTGACAATTGTTTGAATAATCAATATGGGGGGGGAGGGATGCTGAATGAATATTCAAGCGAGAAAGAACAGAATCCTGATTTCACTGTGCCTATAAGGCATGTTGAAAGTGCTGACCTTCTTGGTGACGATGTTTCCATGTTCATCTGTGAACTGCTCCTCACTTATTTGCCCACCAGCAAGGTCTTCAACTTCATCGCCCTGTTGACAACAAGATGCTCATGTTCAAGCTTTCTAATTTAAAAACTAAAAACTATACATTCTTCCTAAAATGCAGGCATGATCTATATATATATATATATATATATTTTTTATAATTTATATATATATATTTTTTATAATTTATAT